TGTTTTGAAATATCTTTCTTTAAGAAATGGTCGAGTCCAGAAGTTTATTGCCTTTGACATCTATACCCTTAAAAAACATCGCCGTTTCTTCTTTCACTTATTTTTTAATACCGACTATATATCATTATTTAATGCGAGGCCTAACCAGGCGCCATCCGCTCCTCGAGTTTGGTCCGTTTCTGTAGACTGAGCCTATATATTTGAACATTGCTCAGACACTCGTAAATAATGTAGGTTGTGCCCTGTGCGTTATTAAATATTTTACGCAGTCGCTTCTCGGTAACATATACATATACATATATATTGTCAAAATTTGCTGAGTCGCGATGTCGCTACGGTTGGGATTGGATGAGATGCGCTGAGGATTTACTCTCATTAGGAGCGGCAGTGGCGAATGAGGGAGCTGGTATTGACACCTCGCTGGAGTTGCGCAGAGGGCCCGCGTCCACGGTTACCTTAGCTACCCGAGTCCGCTCCATACATTATGTCAAACATCTCTCTCTCGCTCACTCTCTCTCTCGCTCCTTCCCCCTCCCACCAGCTCTCCCCTCATAATGGAGACCATCGCTGAGGGGGAGGGGTTAAAAGCTCCTGTACCTAGGGGGTTTTAATAACCACCCATCCTAACCCATAGATTTTTTTTTTTGTCTCTCTTCCCCTCTATATGTATGTACATAGGGTATATAAACACACACACGTTTGTGTATGTGTGTGTGTATATATATATATATATATATATATATATATATATATATATATATATATATACAAATTTCGTTACGTACGCCACTATATTACTTATGTTGTTACTTGAGTTAAAATTTAATCCGAAATGTAAATATTCGGTGTGAAACTTATAATGGTTATATTAAACTGGAATTTCAATATTAGTTTTCTAGACTTACACGTGGTACAGAACCCTTTTTATCAAATAATTAACATCCGCCTGAAACTCCATATAAATAGCTTCATCTCATCCTACAAATATTTTATTTATCGAAATTTTCGGAATTGGGGCGCTTTCTATCTTGATATCGCCAAACGTTGTTTATTTAATTAGGTACTAAAAACTGGTAAGTTTCCATTTGCTTTCTGCTTGAATCGTTACATAATTTGATCACAAACTCCAGAAAAAATGTAGCCTTCAAAAATATTGAGCCGTCTGGCGTGACCTACACCTCCAAAATGTCAAAATAACAAGGTTTTATAGGCCAAAAGGCCAAATATTTTTGTAGGCCACCTTTTTTTTTTTTATCGATTTTGTGATCAAATTATTATAACGATCCATGTGGAAAGCAAATGTGTATATACAAGTTTTTAGTGCCTAATTAAATAGACAAAGTTTGCCGACCTCAAGACTGAAAACGCCCCAATTCCAAGAGTTTTCGTAAATAGAATAGTTGTACGTTACGATGAGATGAAGCTATTTACGAAGTTTCAGTTGGATTTTAATAATTTTATAAAAAGGTGTCTGTACCACGGAACATGAGTTTATAGTTTTTACATGAGTTTTATCGAACTTACATACGAGTTTATGGAACCCCAAATATGCGTAAGGGGTGCATTTATGTCATTTGAAAATTGTCCTAATCTACGGGCATTATATTTATTTAATGATGTTAGAAAACTAATACTATCATCCACCCTAAACTTATTATTCTTCCTTTCTCAAACCTTTTACTCTTGCGTGTTGTGTGTCTTGGATCCTCCAGGCCTTGGCATGTTGGGCAGTAACCGTTCTTAGCTAGACCCATTAAATGAAGAAATTGATTTGTTCTCCCATAGTTTATCCTAAACCTGGTCAGCTTCACTAAGTTAGGGCGGTCGAGGTCAAATTTATGGATCGCAAATCATGGAGTCAAAGCTATCTTTTGATGAACTGCTTGGTAGACCTTATCTTTCGAGAAATATTCCCAGATATGCAGCCATCCCTTTATTGTCTTCTTTCATTAAGTCTAATAATGGACATTTATGGAAATCAAGGCATTTATACGATGGACTTGATTTTGATTTGCGGTTTTGTCTGGTATCTCATTTCCCGATAATCCTACATGTCCCGGACACCCATTGGAAAACGTAATTATTATACCTTTTTTTAATTTACAAAGGGGGCATATTGTAATCGTTCAAATATTTGGTTCAGATCACTCCTAAAAACAGATATGTACGAATCAAATTAATTTTATGTTCATTAATATTTTTCGAGGGCGGTTCAGCTCGTAAAACTTTGAATCCGCAAGTGGAAGAACGAGTAGAAATGAAGAGAGATCAGATTGCAGTAAAGCAGGATTGTTTTGTTGTTCCAAACTTTATGGCTCATCATTGAGAGTAGCATTGCCCAAAATTAGTCTTGGTCTTGCACTTTGCGCCAAGATCAAGGCCGGCAACTGTTGCAAGACCAAGACCAGGACTAGAAAAAAAATCGATTTTTTAAAATAAAAATTAAGGCAAAATAGTTACTAATTAACAATCTTAGTTACTACATGTTAATAATTGGTATAACCAATATACTTTTGCATTTAACTCCTCTAATTTTTCATTCGAGCTTAGTTAAGTTTCTTCTATCTAAAAAAATATATTAACATTTCTATAGTAATAAACTAATAAGTAACTGCAAGACTGTTGCGAGACTCTTGCGCAAGACAAAGACCATGACCAACGCTGAGTTTGCAAGACCAAGACTGATTTCAGTCTCACATTTGGTCAACAGTAATTGAGAGGTCTAATTTTACTGTTTAATGATCGATTCTGGATTTTATATACATATATATACATACATACAACGTAAACCGGAGTTACTTCGGGAATAGTTGGTGATTATGTATTAGAGTTCATTTTGAATTTGAAATCACCTGGTGGACTGAAACATCGTTATATCAAGGCTAAACAAGAATTGTCTGAATACAAAAATGTCTTAGCCCCCTAGGTAATTTCATATTCAAAATAAATTCAAGTAGTCACCCCCTAATCCCAAAGTAAACCCAGTTTATGCTACCCGTTTCTTAAATGTAGGACAGAAATATGAGAATAATTAAGTCTTGAAACGTCGCCGAAATATAATTGTTTTATTTATTAATTTAAAATCAAGATCCTAAAAAAATAAATTAAAATATATAGAGAAAAATCTAAGTAGATTTAATACTGTTTTAAAAGATATTTTCGTAGCCGTCTATAAGGAACAGTTTTCGAAGCAATTCTAGTAAATTTTGTGGTCACTTAAAATCCTGTAATTTTCCAATAAAGTTTAAACCTGTACAGAATGATAGTTGATCTAAAAACCGGAGGACTAACACATTTTCAACAATTTTTTTTTTTATTAAAACGAAAATAAAAATTTTTCTGGGAGAACAAAATAATTCATGGTTTCTGTTTAAGTAAGCAAGTACAAACCTTTAAATCGTTAGTTTATAACATCGCAGAACACAATAATGAAGATAGTAATTACTTAGTAATAACTAGTAATTAATTAGTAATAACTACTCAACTACTTATTCCATTCAACCTTGCATTAGTGGTCAGTCGAAAAGTTTATTTTTTTATGGCTATGTATGCCTCCCACTTAATGAAATAAAAGATTTTTATATATTCTATTTATGCTTCATTTTTATTACATTCTTGCAATCTTTCCATAAAAGTTTTATAGGGTTGTTCGATTTATCGCGATATACTATTACTTTTCGGATGGAGTGGTAATAAAAGTAAGAAAAGATAACGGAGGGGGGGGGGGGGAAAAGGAGGGTGCTAAATGTTGGGTTTTAATCTGCTAAAATCTAGTTTTATAATTAACTGGCCATCTTTTCAATCAATAGCATTTTATGAATGAAACGAATGCTGTTAAACTTATGATTTGCTATTTTTAGAGCTTCCTTGAATTTTTTATTTTTTTTTCGAAGCTTCTCTTTAGTAAAAATATGTTGTTTTTTTTAATTAATGATGAGCTTATCCTCTCACTAACTCAATTATGTAATTGAAATGATCCAGCTTTAAGAAGTTTTAGATCGTGCTCTAAAAGACAATCCGTCTTTTCTTTCTAATCCAAGCCCGAACCATCTTCTTTCTGGATTAATCAGCTGCAATCTACTTCTACAAATTAATTTCTCCTCGTAATTTTTTTTTCAATTAATCATATTTGGAAGTTTTGTGGACTGTTTGTTTTGCATTACCGATGCTATTTACGTTTCAATTTCTAATATAATGCTTACCACAGTATATATATTTTTTATTATTATTAGATTGGTCGGTTTAATGAATAAATGATGGAATAGGATTATTTTATTTTATTTATATTATTTTTTTAAAATATGTTTGGAGCTGTTCACAATTGTGCTATTTAGAAAATATTAACCTAATTTATGTTAAATGTTTTGTAATGTTTGTTTTTGTGTTTGTGACTTTTGTTTTTTTCTCCTTCAGCACAGCATATGCAGTGCCGAAGATGGGAAAGGTCCAGTGTGGAGGTTTTTCCCCCCTTACGTAAGTTAAACATTTTCTTTGGGTATTTTGGTGGTGAACGGTTTTTTTTTTTTTTTTTCGAAAAATAAACAAAAATTAATAATAATAAAGTAGACCTTTTTCACAGCTTCTTTAGCTTCTTCCTTAACAACCATAACACACTCACTGTAATTTTAACCAAATCAATATTAAGCATAGTATGGTTCTGGGATTAGTAGCATAATATTCTCACAATTCATTAATCTATAGCCAGTTTCCTCGTTATGAGGAATAATTTAGTAGTAAAATTATATATATAATGTTTACCATTTTTTAAAAATTATTATTTCTGTAGGGTTATTGCCTAGCCCTCAGCAATAACTTGTCATTAGTGTATATTATAATTATAATGCAAATAAAAATAATCTAGTTTTGTGAAATTCATGCTACAATCTTCAATAAGTTCAGCTTCTGCTAACCCTTATCAACTAACTCATAAATTATATACCTTAAAAGTATTTATGCTTACCTTTTCTGTAGTTTTCCCTCAATATATATATATTTTAATATATCTAATTTACTATTTAAAGTAACATTATTTATTTATTTCTTATTCAGCATAGTGATGGAACCTGATCGATTTTGTGTATATGCTTTAACATTTTTTTTTCTAAATTTTTACTGAATATTTGATTTTAAATATATATTTTTAATACATAAAAAAAGAAGTTCCAACCATGATATAAAGTTTCTAAATTTAAAATAATTAAATTATACAATTAAATATGTTTTTATGACTAGTATAATTCAAGCACGAATACACTTGTATGCATTTTAGTTTTTGAGATTACTATATACAAAGCCTTGGATGCTTGGCATGTAACCATTTTAAATCGAACCATCAGCGTAGTGGTTTTCTCTGTCTGCTCTCGTACGAATCGTGGTACGTTACCCTATATTTTTCTAACAAAAACATACTGAGGTGAATCATGTTGGAAACTGCGATTTTACTGATTTTTCTTACTCTGCTTTTTAACACCATGGGTAAACAGCGATTAGCTCAAAAACTTGGGGAACACGAAAATATTCAAGAATTTTAATTTTTTTTATATTAGTAAAATTATTTTAAAAATTGACTGAATTCTATCAATTCTTAAAACTGAAGTCGAGACAAATTTGTGGTATTATTTTTAATGAAACATAAATATCGAAATCATAAACAATTCATGATAAAGTATGTTACAATTCTGGTCTTTTAATTAAAAAAAACGTTACGTTGATATTTTTGGATTGAGCATATTTCTTCAAACGGATAATTTTGGTTCCACTGTACAAATGTCACTCCACTTTCATGTGTGGTACAATATCATATCATAAATGGAATCCCGAGTGTGCCCGAAAGTAGACGGAAATGTCCGAACCTTCTGGTAAGGCCCCGACCGCAACTGGGGATTTGTTTATTTATCCCTTTTGAACTAGCGTAAGTCGAAAGCAGGAATGTAATTAACGCCCCGATTTTAACTGAAAAGGATACGTAGAGAGTTTGCCGAGTTCGTAAACCGCGATCTTAATAAAGGGAGGTTATGCTGGGAACGAATTATCACTCTTCGGCTATTCCCGGCAAGGATGCCCAGAAGGGGGTTGGTTTTATGGCGCAAATTGTGCCAACAGAATTAATGAGGGGGGCACTTTTTGACGGGGATTTCAATTTTTGGACGGGGTTATGAATTGTCAAAATGAAAAGTTTCAAATCAAAAGCTAAGTGGAATCCTTGAACAGACCACAGGATGTGTAATGGTATGTTTATTTGTCACACTAAAGTTTTTTATTTTTGCCAACGTTTCAACCCAAACATGTTGGTCATCTTCAGGGCTGGAAAATGGTTTTTAAAAATTACAATCAGAGATATAATAGTATAAGACCGCTAATTATAAATAATAAACTATAGTGATTGATGGTACATGAATCTTAACTAATATTGCAATACACATATTAAAATTAAATATGTAAATAGTTATACAAACCAAAAAAATAAAAAATAATGTATATAGCATACTTATATAAGAATATTCAAATTCTACTTTCATTTGCACTGTTTTCAAGAAGAAGAGAGGAATAAAATATCTTGGAAGGGGCGGGGATGGTTTATGCGCCATCGGCCTTGGGTTGCATGGGCACCCCTTATTCCCGGAATACCATGTATAGTCTGATCATGTCTTGGCCCACTCCTGAAAGTGGAGGTACACTTGTACAGTATTGCCAAAATATTTACATTTTAAAAATTAGAATATTATTTATTGTTACTAAAATAAGCAAAAACCTCGAAAAGCGACATTATGAATAGAACAATCCAAACTATAAAAAGCCACGAATCTCCAACGTACAAGTGAACTTGCCAAAGTTCCGCCGATTCAGGCATCTCTTTTTTTTTTTTTTTTTTTCTACATATATGTGATCTTCTTTGTTCAACCCAGATGATGCCTGAATTCACGGGCGGATCTACGGGGAGGGGGGGGGGCTTTCGGGCTGAAGCTCCCTCCAAAATGGTAAAATATAACCATACTTTATCGAAAACAATATTAAAAAAGTATCTCTTAAAGCATTATTGTTCGTGTAATTACATTTAAAAGGGCTTTAGGAATCACTTAAACATCATTTCATATAGGTAGTTAGTTTCTTTCTTTTTTTTTCCTTAGTAATTATCGTTATTTTTATGAAAAAAACAACTTTCGGACCCCCCCCAAAAAAAAATAAATCCTGGATCCGCTAGTGCCTGAATTGACCAAACGTTAACTGTTCACCTGCATGTTGGAGATTCATGGCTTTTAGTTTGGATTACTTATTATCTATCTTCGGATTTGAACAAGGTACCTAGGTCATGTACTCATAAAAGAAGAGTGGAATGAGGACGGTTTTCAATAATTGGTATATGGATCAACCCTCTTCTCCACTGGTTCCTTTTTCCAGCTTTTTGGCAACGCTGAGATATTCCTGTTTCTTCTCCAACACATGTTTCTGGATTTTTTGATGGACCCGTCTTTCTTAAACCAATTTTGTCAGACACGTCAGAAACTACATTATACTTTGCATCATCGTTCATTACTTCATTCTCTCTCTCATTTTTTGTTATGGCATAGTTTGAACTCGTGAAAAGGAATGAAATGAACATCGTGCCTGCAAAATTTGCAAATAGCAAAAAAAAAATAAAAACCAATGCAAATATAATATTAATAAATATAGGAACGCTTTAGCGTATCTAAAAATTCATAAAATAGGTTAATCTTTTTCTTGAAGGAAGTTAATCGACTGTTCTATATATCATGGGTGATAAATATTCAGGACGCAGTCTTTTTTAAAGTTTTTTATGTTTGCCAACGTTTCAACCCAAACATGTGGGTCATCTTCAGGGCTGAAAATGTTTTTTTTTAAACATTACAATCAGAGATATAATAGTATAAGACCGCTAATTATAAATAATAAACTATAGCGATTGATGGTACATGAATCTTAACTAATATTGCAATACACATATTAAAATTAAATATGTAAATAGTTATAAAACTAAATATAAAAAATAAAAAAAATAATGTATATAATCCATATACATTTTTTTAATATAAAAAAATATTTTAAAAAATTTAAAAAAGACTGAGACCTGAATATTTATCACCTATGTTATTCTTTTTCTTTTAAATCCTTTCCTACCCTGTTTAGATTTTTATTGATGGTCCATTGGTGTGATGTTTAAAATTTCACAAGTTTAAAATTTGTCATACTATTAGTTTTTCTGGCTTTATGTTGTCTCGTAATTTGCCGGTGACCTTTCTCTAATTAATTTATCATTGTCATTTAAAAAATCTCATATCCCTCGTATCCCGATCTCATATTCTCTCGTATCCCAGACTATCGTGAGCCTGAACTTTGTGGATCAAATGGAATTTGCGGTATTGAAACTTACCTAAATCTGAAAACATTATACGTTTGCTGCAATAACACTCTGCGATTCATCGAATATTAATTTATTTTTTTCAAGAATTGATTAGAACAGAAACATCACGGTAAACATCTATTTTATGCCTTAGATTTGGTGATTATTAAAAACGTCTATTTATTTATTTTGCCCCAACTCTCATTAGGGGAAATGTTTTTGAGCTGGCTACGCCCTCACCTCTGATACTAACTGTTGATACCTACCATTCCTCTATTACTCAATCGATGGAATCTCGAACGAGACTTACTTTCTAGACTATTTAAATACTTTAAATGATAGCTGCTCATCATGTGTGCAAACAGAGTGACCTTGGCATAATGACTCGAAATCGTAATAATTTCAAAACAGATCGGCCGTTTAATTTTACAGAAATGTCTTTGACCTTTAGTTTAATCTGGTACGTTCATGAACCAAATGTAAATTGAAAAATGTATACATCTTGTCTTTCCTATTTCTTACGGAAAGCGTACCAAACCTCGGTTTCCCTCATAATTTAAGTGTCTACAGTGGTCTGCAGGCATAAGTCTACCTCGTCAATCATTTTTGGAAAGTTCAATTTTTAAGCAAACACGATAATATGGAGGCAAATTGGAAACTACTTAAGCAAATCATTTCCCAATACCAGCGAGCGACTTGTTTTCAAACAGAAATAAAACAAATTTTTATACTATTTTGAAACCATTTAACAAAAAAGAAAGTATTTTATGTATGTAGGCAATATGGAAGCCTATGAATAATATGAATGGGCTATAAATAGCGAGTTTAATGAGAATGTTGTTTTTTGTTAATAAAAGTTTTTTTAAATTGTTTTATTATTTAGGAAGAAACCTAAAAAAAAAATTAGGATATCATCGGAAGTCTCCAACAAAAAACAAATTCTCTTGAGTTTTTCAACTACCAGTCGACTTAGCCGATTCAAAGATCAGGACAAAAAAAAAATCATAAGATCACATAAATGCAGACTAGAGATTGTATATTTCACATCAACGCCTAAAAAACTAACCAAATAGAGATAGTACACCACTCCCAGACATTACATTATTTCCAGAAAGTACAACACAGTTCGTGATGTGCTTTTATATAATATGCATATGATTACAATATGGCATACTTTCAACCGTCTTGCATTGATGTTCTCTATTTATCAGGTTAATCCACGGGCGTATCTACGGGAGAGGGGGGGGGGTTCTTTCGGGCTGAAGCCCCCCTTCCCCCAAAATGGTAGAATATAACCATGTTTTATGGAAATTTTTTTTTAAAAATACCTCTTAAATTGTTACTGTTCGTGTAATTAGATTTAAAAGTACTTACGGAATCCCTTAAACACCGTTTCATATAGGTAGTTAGTTTCTTTCTGTTTTTCCAAAGTAATTATCGTTATTTTTATGAAAAAAAAAGCTTCGGGCTGAAGCCCTCCCAAATTTTTTTTTTTTTTTAACTTTTATTATGATATTTACAACTGTATTAGTATGAATACATCAAGTAAATTTGTACAGAGAAATATTAGTACATGAAACACGCTTGTTGAGAAACTACCCACTGGTAGCACTCTACTCCCAAATTTAAACCCTGGATCCACTAGTGGGTTAGTCCAAAGCCGGGACTGGAGAGGGAGAGGACAAAGTAAGCATTTTATTTTTAGGTTAAATAAAAAATATTAGTGATTTTTTCTTTTACTTTAGCAATACAATATTTGTTTCTGCTTTTTAATTGTTTAACCTTAATTTAGACTATAAAATGAATTATGATATGATATTTGGTAGTATATTACATAAAATACTGTTGACTTTTATTGGGGAGTGGATGGGGTGAAAGAAAAGGCGAAATGAAGCTTGCCTCCCCCCTAGAAAAAAATTTAGGTCTTAGATCAGTCTGTTTTGGAGATTCGAAATAAATTTACATTTATGTGATCTTATTTTTTTCAGGCCTGATTAGTGAAAATACGACTGTAAATTACTGCGAACCCACCATATTATTATTAAATATCACACTTGGTAACCGAAATATAATTTTGAAAAAAAATAATCATACGACTTTTGAAGAAGAGGTAACCCCCCACTTGGGAGCTTCATCAGCTCCTTTATAAAATCTAACCGTTAACCAACATTTTTCCCGGTATCGTCCATTCTATGAGGACATTTCTATTAATTCTGATGAGTAGATGATTGTGAAGGTCTAGGTATTCACTTTTCCTCTTTTTTTTTTAGCTGCACGGGCACGGCTATGAGATGAGCGGGGCGACTGGGGGCCCAGTGCCCGGCCACGAGGTTTTGGCACCGGCACCCGCCGACATGGTACACCCGGATTCGACCGACAGCTACGTCACCTATCTTGAGAGCGACGACTCCTTGCAGCAAGACGCATCAAGCCCATAACGGTAAGCTCCTTATTTCACTATATTCTGATTTCCTCATCACTCCCTTTCCTTCCAATAAAAAAAAAAAAAAAAAAGAAAACGAACAGCGTATCCTAGGTTGTTCAATAAATTTACAAAATTGTTAACGAAGTCAGAGCTCTTCGTGATGTTTCCTATACATAAGATGGATAGGAACCGTATAAAAAAGCCTCACATACAAAATAAGAAAACAAAATTCATCACATTACTTTTCAGCACAACAAATTACTTTTCTAAACAAGATAATAAACTAAAATGTTCAAATATTTCTTAGCCATAAAAATTAGTAATATTTTTTATGTTGTCACCCCATCAAATAATTGGCCAATAGCCAATTTGAATGCAAAATCTGATATTATTTTTAAAAACATTTTTTCCGGTTTGATAATGTCAATCAATAAACATTTAGTTAAAGCTGCCTTGGTTGTAAAAGTTGATTATGAGAGCTTTATAGGCGTTAATTAAGTGATAAATTAATTTTGTTGTCACGTCACGCTCTCTTGGATAATTATTCCTGTCGTTAGCTTTCAGGTGGCTGAAGTTTCTGTAGGGACAAAGTTGAAAATTTCGTTATGGAGTTGTGAATTTCAGGATGATCAACTAGCGCGAGTTTGTTTTTATTTAATCGTTGCATGGATATGTGTGGATGTATATACATAAAGTCCCTTTCCGCAGTTTTCATAGTTCCGTCAGATAATTATTAAATACAAATTTATATATAGACAAATGTTTACAAATGTGACATTATATTAGAGTACCTACACTAAATTATGAATATAATATATATATATATATATATATATATATAATATATATATATATATATATATATATATATATATATATATATATATATACATGCAACAATTAAATAAAAACAAACACAAGTTGATCATCCTGAAATTCGTTATGGAGTTGTGAATTTCATCTTGAATTCACAACTCCATAATGAATTTCACGATCCATAACGTACACACACACACATGGAACAATTAAATAAAAACAAACAAGCACAAGTTTGTCATCCTGAAATTCAAAATTCCCTAACGAAATTTTTAACTTCGTCACTACAGAAATAACAGCCACCTGTAAGCTGTCATGAGTAATAATCCAAGAGAGCGAGGCATGACAATAAAAGTAATTTATCACTTATTAACGCATATAAAGCTCCCATAATCACCTTTTACAACCAAGGCAGCTTTAACTAAATGTATATATATATTTATATATATAGCAAATATTTCTTTATTTCATATAATTTGAAATGGTGATTTAAAATTATTGCATTTTATATGTATTGAGGCCCACGAACAATCTTCAATATAAACTATAAATTTGTGTGTAATGTTATTTATTTAATTTGTACATGACATGGGAACTGGATGTTCCAGCCTCTTCTTGTGCCAAAGAAAAGGGACACTAAGTTAAAAATGTCCATAGTTTTCATTGAAACTGATATTAATTATCTGTGCCTATCAAATCAATTACTGCTATTTAAATATGAAATATTAAGAAAGTATAAAACATAGGGACATTTAAAATACATACATATTTTTTTAAACCAGACTCCATTTTATTCTGCGCTCGAAATCCTAACTTTTTTAATCAGAAAATGCTGATTGTTTAAAAAATGTTTTATCTAATTAAAACTTGGTTATATATTTTATATAAGTATAAAATTCTTATGTTAAAATAGGCAATAAACCAACAAAAGTGGTTGTAATATTTTGTAACTCATCTAATTACTTCATCTTTTTCTTTTCAGGGCACAAGACCTGTCTCAGAAGTGTAAATAGAAACTTATCAGCTACTCAAGTTATCAGTAAATATAAATATGTACAGTTATTGTTTCAATTTTGATACTAACTAAGGATCTGCCTCATAGGAGTAACATCTAGTGTATAAGATGTAAACTGTTGGGTTTGTAAAGTTGTGCATTTCAAGAGGCAGTTATGTTAAAGTCATCTTACACTTATTTTTTATTGTGCCATGGAAAAAGTGTGTAAAATTTTCTGTAGACAATTGTTATTGTTTTAGTTTTACTGTACATGTGTACATACTAGATGCAAACTGTACAAAATATTAAACTTTAACAAGCTTATATAATTGATAGGAAATAATAGCCACATTTGATGATAGTTACCTTCGACTTATTTACAGAAAATATTATTGTAACACATCAATACAACATATGTTTTCTATTCTCATTCTTGTAGATCAATAAATTGTGAAGAACACAGAGTGATATGAATTGTATTATTAATTACAAGGACCATTAATAGCTCACAATATGTTATCCATTCATTTATATTGATAAGCAATATTTGTATAAATTTTTGTAGATATAATTTTTTCTCTATCACAAAATCTTAAATTAAATAAAAGAAAAAATTAAGCATTTTTTCTTAACTGCAAGTTGATACCAAACATAGAAAACATTAACAGTTTCTTGTGTTTTTCATATTAATCAATTTTCTTTATTTATCAGACCAAAAAAAAAAAAAGAAAAGTTATTGATATATGAAATAAATTAATAGAAATATATTTTTATCCAAAGTATGAACAGATAGTCTCTTAAAGAGATTCTGTTATATTCTGTTAACTTTTTTTAAATATATTTTCCTTATTTAAGGAATGTTTTTTAAACATTTTGATATAGTTGTTTTAAATAAAGGCTATAAAATATGCCGAATTAATCAATAAATAAAACTTAATCAAACTAAGGTCTTGTATGTTTCTTCCTTACTTGCAAACCACATCCATTGTACTCTGTAATACAACATTACTTAACATATATAAAACACTTTTGTATAATATATAAGAAACACAAATATAATTGATTATCAAGATTTATGTTATGTTTATTCTTCAGTAATCTTTCAGTTCTCTATTTATCAGTTTATTATACAGATAGAACTTTTATTCTTTGAAAAATCATTACAAACAAAGTGATTTTTTCTAACCATGCATTTGACCTATGCAATTTTAAATTCAGGTACTAATAGAAGATAAAAGTTCCTGTAAAAATTGACAATTTTTAACTGGGTAGACAAAACGGAATATATCTCAATGGATTTAAAGAAATCAAATTATTATCAACTTTTAAATGCATATTCCACATCACATAATATTTATCACACAATAAATGAAATATTATATTTTCAAAATCAAGTACTATAAAAAATAGTATATGAACTCATAATTTGTATCAAAATGAGCTTTTACTTCAATAAATCCATTGTATTATCAAATATTTATAAGTAAGGACAATTTGAAATAATTTTCTGATATAAGTATCACTTAAGTAAATTTGAAGAAATTTATTAAAAATGATTCAACCTCAGGAGTTTAATTTATATAAGTTACAGTTTTTAATGACCACAAAGAATGTTTTAAGGGGTTATCCAGTTTGTCTTAATTGCTCTGGGTGGGCATCTATTGATGACATTTATGTAGCTCTTATTATACAACTTCACTAATATTCATTGTCTTTATTTAGTACTTAATTTTACATAAATATATACTTGCCAATCTCTCTGATATATATATATATATATATAGAGAGAGAGAGAGAGAGAGAGAGAGAGAGAATAGGTTTAAACCCTCTCTTCATGTATGTATGTAAATTAAATGTAACAGGCATTTTACAAAAAACAGTTTGTTATTGAAGAAAAAAAAACACTGTACTTAAATTTATTATTTTAATTTTTAAAACTTGTAATAATAATGAATGGTTTAAGTATAGTTAGTACTTCAGATGCCTGAAAACCTGTTTCTCCTCTTTTAATAATATATAATACTGTATAAATTTCATAATGTATTTTCCATAGCAATATGTTTTTTGTTTTGTTTTTCAAATAACAATCAGGTATATTATCTATATTTATTTATATAAATATAATGTTTTTCAAAGCATTAAGCTTGAAAAAGTTTGAAACATACTATAAAAATGAAGTTATTATAACTATAGTTAACTGATATTTAACTCGTTCAAAGTTTCAACAATAAAAGAATAAACAAACACGTAAGATTTTTTTAGTGTATGCAAGGAAAAAAATTAAACCTAATGTCTACAGATTATGGATATATGAATTTATCTAAAAAATAAAACACAATAAACAATGAAAGTATCTGACCAGGATTTAAAACAGTTTTTTTTTTTTTTTTTTTAAATTAAGATACTTCTGATTGTCTTAAATCAATACTTCTGACATGAATCATATAAAGTACCTATTTCTACATCAAACTGAACTGATTTTTTAATTAAAATTGAAAAAACTAAAATAAACACATTGCCTTTTTTTTTTTTACTCTTACCATTCTTTTTAAATAATTTTTTTTTTAAAATAATCAATCACTTTTTTTTAAAATAAAACAATTCATATTATTACAGGAACAATTCATTAAAAAACACAATTCTATTAAATTGTAAAAATGTATGATGTTTGATAATAATATGATGCTTTGAATTAACTAATTTCAAAATCTTGTAAAGGATAAAGGGATAAAGATTTTCATGAATAAAATATTAAAGACCAACAATAAAAAACAAATTAATATTTCTACCTATCAAAATTAAATCAAGCTTGATCATATTAGTAATGTTCATGAATAAAGTACTCTAACTATTCAATAGTCATAACATGGCATGATTTAGTCACAGGTATATGAAAAAAAAGTAATTACATAAATTAAAATTCATTTACACCATATTCAAAATGAAATAAATTATGTCCAAATATAACTAAAGAATTGCTTGTATATGTAATATTTTAAATCTAATCAAATCGCTCAATGCTGTAGTCATGTTAAAACCTTTACCTCATTTAGAATATTTTTCTATACTGATCTTTATTGTGTTAATAGCCATTGTCTTCTGAATTCCATCACTCAAATAAAAATAAAATAAAGATAGCGAATATAGGTGAGGGTTAAGTCAGAAATAAACAACATCACAATGTCTATTAGTATTAACCATAA